CTTGTGTTGCCACGTTTTTTCAAATGAGCTAGTTATCTGGAATAAGAAAAGGTTGAACACTTGCTTTAAAATTCACTTTATTTTTTGAAACTTGGATTATAATCCTTTAGTAGTCAGGATACCGACTACAAACATTCAGAGTCACTGATACAAAATGAACCAGATAACGTATGTAAGAACCTGGCCTATTTGCACTTTATCTTACTGTCAGCTGCAAAGTTCAGTAGTGTCTGACTGACGTAGGGATCTAGGCATGCACTGATACCCAGGTTTGTAGGAGGTTGTAACTGCTGCTGCTTTCAGTCTGCTAGCTTTTAAAATAGTGATTATTTGCCACACATATAGCTATTTACCTCTCTAGCATTTTGGACTTGCACAGGGCCAGGTAGCCATGTAACTGCTATGAGGCCTCCCCAGCCTGCTCTGCTCTGGGCTGAGCGCACCCAAGGACCTCAGCCACCCCTCACACACCTGGCCCTCCAGACATTTCTCCATCTTTGTAACCCTCCTTCAAATAACTTCTATTAGTTTTATATCTTTCTTGTACTGTGGGTCCCGGTCCCCAGCCCCGAAGTGCCAACGGATGCCACAAAGCTCCTCAGTGTGCACAGCACACAGTGCTCTGGCAGTGCTGGAGCTGCAGCCACATGGTAAGCTACCCAAAAAAGTTAATGAGAACAAAAACATTAACAAGATATTAAGCAGGCCACTTGGAAGACATGGAAAGGAAAAGGAAAGAACTGCAGGAAACAAAAAGATAGAAGTTATCTCCTTAATATTTCAATAATGATGACAATTGTCTTTTCTCCTTTAAGAGACCTACTGAAAATTATAGTGGTGTCAAAAATCCCAGGAAGCAAAATACAGCATAAAAAGCTCCTAGAAAAGAAAATACAGCATAAAAACCTTCAGGTTTCATTAAAAATATGCTATTTTTATTTAATCATAACAAAATATTGTGAGATCATTATCACAGAAAACTTGATAATTGCTTTAACTTTTTAGGTAAGAGAACATTAGAAATAGGTTAAGGACTGTTTGCTTCCCCATCAATCCTGCTCTCCAAAACTTCCTTTATAACAGCCCATGATTAATGGCCAGCGATTTTTTTTCCTCTCCTGGGCTGTGTGACTGCTTATGACCTTGGAGAGGCAGGTTTCACATAAGCAGGAGAAAACGCACCCTGGGTAGAGCAATGCTGAGCTGTGAGAGAACTGCTGGGTGTTTCCTAAGGTACGAAGCTGCCCGGCTTCCCCTGGCCAGGGCAGCAGAGCTGAGCTGACAGCCTATGTGCCACGCAGCAGTGCAGAAGCAGTGCAGGCCTGATGAGGCCTGAGCCAAGGGCTGCACTTCTTCCTTGGCCTCCCAGGAGCAGCCCCCAGCCACAGGGATGTGCTGGAGCTGTCTGAGCCTGGGAACTAAATGTGAGTCCTTCACATCCTGATCAGCGTTTCACTCACAGCACATGCAGTCATGCCAGTGATTCAGGCTCATTCTTCCATCTCTTGTTGGCAGCAGCACAAAGAACAGATTTTTTTCCTGTAGGTTTCATGATTTTGAAGGAGGCTGTTACACCTCCCCTTGCTCCCTGCAGTGTCACCCTGAAGAAAAAAAACAGTTCCTCTCATCCTAAATAAGGTGGGCAATGGCCGAAGGCCTCACTGGCACCTCCAGCTCTCACAGTGACACTGGGAGCTGGGGCTGAGCTGAGTTGTGCAGCAAAGCAGCTTATGCATAGGAGGAACAGGACACATGCTGGGAACTCTTGATTCTGGTAGGGAGACACAGGGCCAGTGTCCCACATCAAAAAGACATAAACAACAGCCTGAGACGTGAGAAACTATACAGGGCCTTAAGCAGTTGCTTGTCTTAAAAGTCAGTATTTGATGTCTACTGAATTGCAAGGAGATTACAGTCAACTCTAAAAAAAAAATGTAGAAAAAGGAAAAGTGGGGTAGAACTAAAGAAAAGGAAAGGGGAATAAAAAGGAGAGGAGAGGAGAGGAGAGGAGAGGAGAGGAGAGGAGAGGAGAGGAGAGGAGAGGAGAGGAGAGGAGAGGAGAGGAGAAAAAGAAATGAACACTAATGCATTTGGTGGAGTTTCCTGACACCCTCTGGCTTACGTTCACTAACTGATTCAAGCTATGACAGAGAAAAATCTGTCTTTCCTCCTCTTTTTTCTTCCACTATCATCTCTGTCAAGCCTCCTGTTTGACACTGAGTAGTATTTTTGTGTTTGTAAAATATCAGCCCCAAATCTGGCTTCATCTCTTTGGAGCATTCTGCCTTTCTGGGGAGGCTTCCAGGACAGCACAGGAAGAGGCTGTTGACACCACTTGTGACAACTGCCTCAAAAGTTCCATGGAAAGGCAAAGAGCTAGAGTTATCAGCCCCTCTGCTCAGTTGTAGAGGGGGATTTTGTCTGATAGATTTGGAAATTAGAGTTTATTTTTGGCAGGGGACTAAGTATGAATGTAATTCACTGCTTTGAACAGGCTCAGGGCAGATTATTGTCCAGTTCAAGGTGTAACATACAAACAGTGTGCTCTGGATTGTACAAAGAACTCACACTGTAGCAGTACTTCTACTACCAAGCACCTGGAGAACTGTCTGATATGGGATGTCCATATGAGTGGAGTACACTGGAATACACTGGAATAGGTTTCCCAGAGATGTGGATGCCCCATCTCTAGAGGAGATCAGGGCCAGATTGGACAAGGCTTTGAGCAACCTGGTCTAGAGGGAGGTGTCCCTGTCCATGGCAGCAGGGTCAGAACTCACCCTACTCAATTACATGAAATTGATTTTAAATCTGACCATGCCTTCAAAGGTGCCCAATTGGAGCATGGGCTGCTGTTCACCTTAGGTTCATATTTACAACTTTGTCTGTGAGCTTTGCCAGCTGTTTTTAGGATACTATAAAGCATTAGCCAGTCTGTCTCCAAAGTGTATAATGAAGACATCTTCTATCCATTGATGTCCTGGCATGGCCTCTTTGTTGGGACCCATCATTAGTATTAGACAGTGAGAGGCTCTCTGTGTACCCTTTATTTAACCTTTGATATTTGGCCTTTTGGCCCTAGAATTACTGGCTTCAAGACACAGCAGACATAGCAGGTCCCAGTGCATGTTCCTCAGGCAGCTCAGGAAAGTGCGTGGCACCCATTTCTCAGTGGCCTTGGAGGTACCTGCTGGTTCTTTACCTCACCGCTTCCATAGGTATATTTCCACCAGGCTCCACAGAGCCAGGAGATCAGACATCAGTGCATCAGGAACAAACTTGATAAAACAGCTTGCAGTGACCAGTGGGGGTATTTCCAACAGTGTTTATCTGACACCAGCTTCAGTCACCTTCCCACTAACAAATATTTGATTTTTACCCCTCTCCTTTCATTTCCCCCTCAAATATTTTCCTCTTCCTCTGTATGCATACTGTTCCCTCTTGTCTTAAAGTGACTCCGAGTCTGGGAATGTCACTCTGATTACTTACAACCACTGGCCCTACTTTTATGTAGGAATTGAGTTGTGTGTGTCCTAGCTTTGGTGACATCTACATGGTCTAAATTTTGCCCTTAGGCTTTGCTGTCAGGACCCAGATTGGTAAATGAAGCAATTAAGTTTTAAGAGTTTGAAGATTAGTATTTGAAAATATGACATTTAAATTTAAATTACGAAATGACTGCAATTTTAGTATGGAAAAAAAAAAAAGCAGGCTAGAAAATTATTGTGTTAAGCTCCATAATTTGTTCAACTTTTAATGTTGAAACTGTATTTTCAATGATTTATGACAATACTTAATTTCACCATTCAGTATTTTCCAAAAGGTTCTGTATAACCAAGGGGTCCATCATTTCCCTAGGAGGCTGAACAGACAGTTGTTGGAGGAAGTAATTGCTTGCAGGCAGCTCTATTCACATTTGGAGGAGTGTTCAAATTTATGAAATGAAAAATGAATTATTCATATATATCTCAACTTTTTTCCCCTCCTCACTTGGGAAAATGCTTGGAAATCTTGCCCCAAGAGATGTCCAACATAAAATGCAAACCATTTTTCTAATGGTTTCTAATTCAACTAGAGTAAAATACAAAGACAGGTGCCAGTGCTGAGCAGCAGCATTGATTCCCTCTCAAAACAGGAGCTAGACTCCACATCTGCTCTTTTCTGGATAAGTACTTCTAACAGACAAGACCACAACAGCATCCACTGGCTTGGTCCACCTGGTCACTACCTCCTGCACTGGTGATGATGTTCCCCTCATTCCTTGGTTTGGCAGAGCAGTCATCTAGAAAGTCAGATACCTCAGAACAAAACCACTGTGAAACCCAAGTTACTCTTATGGGGCAAATCATGCTCTACACTTGAGGCAATCCTGACTAATTCTCTGAATTCTGCCTCTTCCATGTTTTGAAACGGGAAAATAAAGGGAAGATCTTCAAACAAAAACAAAAACAAACAAACAAACAAAATTGACAGATGAGCACATAAAGCAATTCCTAGTATTAACTTTTTTTTTTCCCCCCTACATGTCAGGGACCTGAAAAGTCACTATTTTATTTCAGGAAGAAGAAAAAAATTCAGGTACATTTATCCCTGAGGCATTTCTATCCAGCTGGTCTTTGCCTTTGCCTTTTTCAGTAGAGTGATCACAGAATCACAGAATGGCCTGGGTTGAAAAGGACCACAATGATCATTCAGTTTCAACCCCCCCAGCAGGATCACCAACCACGAGACCAGGCTGGCCTTGAATGCCTCCAGGGATGGGGCATCCACAACCTCCTTGGGCAACCTGTTCCAGTGTGTTACCACACTCTGTGTGAAAAACTTCCTCCTAATATCTAACTTAAACCTCCCTTGAGTCCCACTCCAAAATGCCTTGTTTCTCCCACTTACAACACAACGAATGCAGACACCGGCATCTTTAGGGTGTCACAATTCATAACAAATAAAAAATAAAAAAAAGAATTCAAGTTTCTTTTTATATGCTGCTCTGAATAAACATAGTCTCAAGAGCAATTTTGGGTTGCAGTAGTCAAATTTATTTCCACTGTAGAAGCACACTTGTCTCCATAATAAAAAAATAATGTTTTTGTTGCAGAATAAAAGTAATCCTATAGTGGTATAAATATATCTACTTTCACGAGAATCCATGTCAAGTCACTCAACATATATTCAGATTTAGTATTCTCATAGTTTCAAATGGAATCAAAAAAGGTAGTTGCTCACAGAAAAAACAATTCTAAAATGTGGCTCAGTTGGGATTTACACATACATGAAATCACAAAAAAGGCTTTTATTGAAACAAATACATTACATATGAAACAATGGCGTTCAGCACTAACTACTTCTGTTTACCTATCTAAAACATGCTGTATGGCATCAGTCATAAAAACCTCTACCAGTTGTCTCACAGAAATAACCTGGAGGTTGGCGGCCCTGTCCATGGCAGGGGATTGGAACTTGATGATCCCTGGGGTCCCTTCCAACACAAGCCATTCTGTGATTCTGTGAACCTCAGTGCTGGCCAGGAAGAATTAATATCAAGAGCATTAGTGTTCAAGCTCAGTTCTCGTTAGCCTGTGCTCAGCCTGTGTCTTCACTCCCAAGACTCTTATCATCAGCGGAACTCTTTCAAGAAATAAACCATCCTTTAGGGAATGATCACAGATTGATCAGACAGCTGTCACTTCCTGCTACGAAGCCCCCATGCTATACTGACAGGTAATACTTCACATAACATCATTAATGACCTGATGCATCCAAAAGTCTTATGGTAGGTAGGTTGACGTATAATTATCTGGTATGAATACTTCAAAAAGGCAGAACACAACCTCCTGCACTTCCAACAGTAAACACCACTGTAGGGTACTTCTTGAACTTTTAATGAATACCTTTCAGCTGCGGAAGTGGAAAAAAACAAAAAGAGGAAATAAAGTTTAATGAAGCACATCATGACTGTATGTTACTACGTTCTAATTATACTTATTTACTGCATGGACTACCCTTTGCATGAGGCCCTCACAGGAAATATTGACTTATTCTAATACTCCCTAACTGCTAGTGCAGTATAAAAAAAAAAGTAATACAGCATTTGGATTTGACTCTTCTTAATGTGTCTTGAGAGAAGGACACATAACAAATACAACACAACACTGAAGACAAGAGTAACATAACAGCACTTAGTTCTGATACACTGAAAAGCAATTTATTATATAAGCATATTTACACAGGCACACTGACTTACTGAGCACCAGTTTTTTTTCTTCTAATGTTATACTTCAACATCAACATTGAACTCTGAACAGAAGAACATTAGACCTTTACAACAGTTTCAGCATCAGAAAAAGAACTATCTATATTCTACAAACAACAGAACACTAGTATTAACACTCCAGTTGAGAAGTTCACTGCAAGAGACCCTCTCTCTGAATTCTGAGGCGTTCTTTCTCCACCTGCAAGCGCTCCTTCTCAATCTGCAGCTTTTCTGACTCAAATTTTAAGAACTGCAACCTTTCCTTCTCTAACTGCAAGCGTTCTTTTTCAAGTTTTAACTTTTCAGTTTCTAGATCCAGAGGCTGTATGATGGGTTTTTCCGATTGGGTGAGGTCATTTTCCAGGGCAGGTTTCTCAGCACGCAGAGTCTCTAGCCTCAGTTTCTCCCGCTCAATTTGAAGTCGCTCCTTTTCCAGCTGCAGTCTCTCATGCTCCAAGTCAATGTGCCGCAGCCGTTCTTTTTCAATTTGCAGGCGCTCCTTCTCCACTTGCAACCGTTCGGCTTCAATATCTAATCGCTGCTTCTCCAGCTCCACCTTCTGCTTCTCTAGATTTATAAGCAAGTGTGAATCTTCATAGGCTAGTCTAGCTTGCGCAGAACTTAGATTTCCAAACTCCTCAATGTGGGTGAAATCTGGTAAGTCATTTTCTTTTTTTGAATCTGGCAAAACTGATGAAAAAATTTCTTCTTCCTCAATAGGAAACTGCAGAGAGGAATGCAACACAGGAGAATTACATCCCATTCTTTCTGTTAGAATAGCATTATATACAACTTCAATGAAAGTAACAGATGACTGCTTTTTTTCCTGCATCTTAAAAAGTATTCCAGAAGTTACATTCTACAAAATAAACATGCTAGATCAAAAAACTTTGTTTGTCATTACATAGCTTGAGAGACACTTGATCTGTAAGCTAATATTTGTAATGAAAAATCTGTTTATCTATTGACATGCAAGAGTAGCATAAAAAGCACTGCATGATACATATTACAGAGCATTCAGAATCACTGACAGAAAACTAGACCTAAAAACCATGTGGTGGCCTTACTTTTCACAAAGCTCAATGACATTTATATAAGCCACTAGCAATTTGTTGTGACTAATTGTCTATCAGAGCAGTTGGATCCATAGGCTACGTGATATTAAAGCTAACCCAGCCTTCATTAACACAGGGATTCAATTTCTAAAAACATTTAACACTGCAGTATTTAAAACCATCTGGCACTTTTCACGTGGTCCTAACCCTTCAATCTATGTAAGTGGGTCAATAAACAGGACTTGTTTAACAAATTTTATATTGCCATTTTTGCTAGGAAACCACTCATGACATGGATTATTAGGGAGTTAGTACCACTGTTCTTGGTGAACCATGAAGGCTGTAATCCTGCAAGAGCTACGTGCTATACACCATAATACAGAAGAGACTATTGTTTCCCATTACAAATACTGCAAATGGAAGGCAAATGGAGGAAGACATGGGATCAGAAAACGTAATGCAAAGCAATGAGAGCAATTAGCAGTATTTCAGTTTTAGAGAAGACTGACACCTTTCTTTAGCAGCTGTTAGGCAGCAGTCCCATTACCATTTGTAAGAGCTTATGCTGGTATTTTTTTCCCAGCATACATTCTAACTAAACTTAGACACAATTTGAACCCATATTTAAAAAAACAAAACAAAACAAAAAACATCCAAACATTTGATTTCAGTCTCACTGCCTCCCTGTCTCAGAACAGCTACGATGCTACTAGAAATAGCAACCTGGCCACAGGTTTCACAGCTACAGTTATGACAGAGGAATGGCTGACTGATTTATTCAAGTAATATTTTCATCTCCTGTGTTCTCATTTTAAGAAATGCAAAGAGTGTTCCATTTCTTTCTTTCTGTACCTCCAGGTAACACACACTTTCATTTGTTAAAAAGGTGCACTTCCCTTCTCCATTCATCCATTCTGATACCCTAAGTATTAAAACAGCCAGTATCCTTCAGTTATGTATTTTCATTCTACTGATTGAAATAATTCCTACCTCTGACATACAGAAATGGAAAACATGCTCAAATACATACTTGTATTGAGGGTTACCATCCTTACAGACCACTGCAAACAGCTAGATTTGAATACCTTCTCTCTGAAGCATAATTATTTCTACTACTTAATTCACACATTCAGACAAAGCAAAACTGGATGCTAAAGAAGCACAATGAAAAGCCCTTGCTGAAATGGGAAAATTACATTGCATATAGCTAATGTATGCCGGTCACTTACTTCAAAATTCTGTGGATCCTCCTCTTCTTCTTCTACTTTGATTTCTGTTAAAGACCCACCTGCTTCTCTGAAGTCAGTAATGTTCTGCCATTCAAAACTAGATTCATTTGCAAACCCCATTTTGTCATCCACATCTTCATTGAGAGAGTCATCTAAGTCGGATGAAGGAAGGTGAAACCCTGCACCAACTGCCTTGATGTTTGCATTCAGACGCTTTCTCTTCATGAGAGCTCTCCAGTCAAGGTATCGCCTTTTCACTTCTGTCCCTGTTCTTTGCTCACCTTCACCTACAGCATTCACACACTCTGCTATTTCCTCCCATGCTTTCCGTTTCATCTCATTAATTGTTGTATTAAGTTGCTTTGAAAAGAGTACTTCTCTCCTTTTTCTGATTTCCTTAAGGAGAGTTTGAGTCTCCTGAACACTAAAATTACTTTTTCTTTTTCTTTTCAATTGTTTCATTTTTTCCAGCTTTAAGCTAATAATTTTAGCACAGCAGATTACAGAGGCTATTTGACGCTAAGAGTTATTAACACAAAGTTTAAAAAACAATGAAAGCAGAGATCAGCTCTTGTTAGATGTGTTTTGTCTTCACTTTGTAGTATTTTCCTATTTCTCAGGGTTCCTAGGAGAAAAAGAGCAAACAAAATAAATCTCAAAGGTACATACTGTATATTTCTATTTAATGAGCTTGGCTCCAAAATCGCCCATTAAGGAAGTGTACATTCTGAACATACCGCTCATCTGTTAGAAGAAAACAATTTTGTTACACTCTCAATTTAAAGAAGCTATTGATGAGCTCTCATAAACTCATACGGATTATAAATCTATTAATATATCTGTCATAAACTGTTAAGGTTGAGTTGATATTTCCATTACAAAAATATAGCTATTTTCCTGTAGCTCTTACAGTTTTGCCGGTTGGGATATGCTTGAGGCTGGAATTTGACATATATATCTTAGTCTGAATACTAAGTTATTTCAAAAAGAAGCTAAGACTTTTCACATTGTTACTTCAAAAACAACATGTCTAAGCAAATGAAATTTCTGAAACATTTTTAAACTACTTCTATGCAAAGAAAAAAAAAAAGTAGATACAAGTAGGTACCTATTAAAAGCTGACATCTTAGAGCCTCTTCTGACTAACTGTAATCACAGATAAGTACTGGAGCAATCCTGCTGTATGATAGAAAATAACCTTTTCAACTAAGTGTTCAAACAAGTGTCAAGCATTTGAGATGCTACTATAAGAAACAGGTCTAGGAATAAGCCATTACTTGCACATGTTAAAGCCTTGCTCCATGTCCCTCGCACTGTAAAATGCTTCAATTAATGTCAGATTCAAAGCTCATCCTGTCCTCTACCCCAGCTATGGCTGATCCTGTGCCTGATGCTAGAGGAAGCTAATCTTGGACACAGAGCACAAGTCTGTATAAAACATACACATCAGCACATTAACAAAAACTCTCCATTTGGGGGACAAAGCACGTAACAGTTTACAGTCTGCATCTCCTATGCACTGTTGACTGTATATAACTAGCTTACTTACAAAGTTTCCAAGTTTTGCAAGCCGCATATTTCTATTTAAGATGTATGAAGCTTCCTGCCCTTCTGAAAATAAAATAAGAAAATAATAATTCATCTTGCGAACAGAGAATGATTGAAATATATACTATGACTTAGGGCTGTAACATAGATGCACTTCTTGCCATAACCAAAATTAAAAACCAAAAACAGAAAAAACAACCCACCCCCAACTTTCTGCCATCTAAAAAGTCAGACTCACGCTACAACATAGCATTGTATCTCTGTATCTGCTAGAATTATGTATTTTTTTTTCCAGAGACCTTTTACCTGATCTTTAAATTTCTCCTTTAACCTTCATTATTATATGTTTGCCATGAAAAGATATTTGGGCTTTCAAGGAAGCAGCACCTCTCTGGCAGTAAATCAATTTATTTTGTACTTTCTCTGCTTTTCAAATCCTAATTACAGTGTTAGTTTTTTTCTGTCTTTATAGTAATTTAATTTCTTAACCTATCTATTAGACTCAAATTCATCTTCAGTGTTTATGTTAAAAACTTTCTAAAAATCATTCAAAAGGTAAATTCTCCAGAAGAGCTACCAATATACAGAAAGAACTAAGACTGCTTTTAGAAGTTATACTGTTAATGAGACAGTTATTCTGAATTGATAAATAAAAAGATTAAGCTGAATTCCTGGTGCCTGCTACTTCACACTGGCTTCAGAAACTGCATGTACACATGTGTAAGTACAAAGAGTTACAGAATCACAGAATCCTAGTTGGAAAGGGCCTTTGAAGGTCATCTAGTACAACCCCCTCAGCAATGAACAGGAACATCCACAGGTTGCCCAAGGCCTGATCCTGAATTATGTAGAACTCTAACACAGCACAGACAATTTTTCTGACTTATCACTACCAAGGCATCAAACCTTTGTTTGAAGTCAAAACTCACTTATTTTTACTGAAATTGGTACAACTTCTTGGATTTAAGCAAGTACTTAAGTGGACATCCAAGTTCTCGATTAGCTATTGGACAATGGGTCAGATTTCCCCAAGTACTCGCAAACCGGATACATCAAACTCTTGAATGTATTATTAACTGTCTTTTAGGTTACCTAAATATCAGATTCAGGTTTTTAAATCAATTTTTCCTCCATGCTATTTTTTAAATGCAATTCTACATGAATGTGGAAGATAGGCAGCTGAGCTTTCCTCTCAGCTGTAGGCCAGGTCACAAGTTAAAACGCACAGCTGCCAGGTCACCCTGCAGGTCAGTCCCATTGCTGTTTGCCCAGGTGCTCTGCATCACTACCCTAATCACCCATCCACTCTTCCACAAGTACCAAATCTTGGGTTTGGATTTTAAGCTACAGGTCAAGCACTGCATTACTACATTGGGAACCCATGGCATAAAATGCCATTTTGCATAGCGTTAAGTTTGTTTCTTTCCTATAGCATATGTGACATAAGCCCCTGAAAGCAATTGTGAAGCCTACCTATTTTAAAACTCTTGGTCATTACTCTCTAATTGTTAAGCACACCTCACTATTTCTAACTCTTTGTCTTCTGAAAGAAAGCATAGTGTCTCACTGAAGACGTTTCCTTTTTCATTAACACAAATGCTGCTAATGAATTACCTTAGCGGTATATAGATGAGCAGATTTGGACCTACTCTGCAGTAAAACCATTACCTTTTTGATATATTAAATAAAAAGCACTATTACATAAATAAAGCTGAGGTTGGTAAAATTCTGGTTCTAATACTTTGATATTTCTAGATGGTGTCCAGGATATTACTTTTAATTAAGAAAAAAATGAACTGCCACATGCTTAAACTATTTAACAGTCAGGAGTGATAACAGGCAAGGATTTGTACACATTGTAGATCGCTAGAAAGAAAGAACAAAAACAACTTATCAGCAATTTGAAAAGATTAATTTACAAGAACAAAACATAAAACGTGTTTGATTTCTAGTTTGAGATCTAAAACAAGAAAACACTCATTCAGAAATAATTCCAGACAAACATTTCAGCTTCTACCAAAATCAGAACCATAAGACTTGAACATTTTTGTGTTGTTAGCAGAAGATTCCATAGCAAACAAATTCTGCTAAGTGCACCAGTTGGGAATAAAATTGGTTCGCTCAGAAAAGGGATGAGCAGATTAGAGGAGAGATGACAAAAGCCTGGTTATGTGACAGAGAAATCCCAGAGAAATGACAAACGATGCAAGCAGGCTCTGATGTGACTAGCAGCTGTGCACACATTACTCAGAATGCAAATGCAAAATGTGTACCATTTGGGTACAAATGCAAAGTGCTGTCTAAAGAAGAGAAGGGTTTTCATCATGAGATAACAGAAAGCTTTTGAGGTGTGCCCAGGAGAGCCAGTAACGTGACACTGAGTTTGATACAGACCTGTCAGGCCAGAATCATCTGAAAGTTAAGAAGGCTCTCACCTCTGGTCTGGAAACTGGAACTATTGTTGTTGCTGAAACGAAACAGTATTGTGAAACTTAGCTGAACAATCCATAAATATACATAAGATTCATAACCTCAAAATACAGCAGAGGCATCTACAATCTGCCACTGAGTCTTTATATTTCCTTTCCTTGCATCTGACTGTATGAGCACATGCTAGAATGGAGCGTTTAAAAAAACAAAAATAACAAAAACCAATGCACAAGCAACACAGGCTGCCCAAAGAGGTTGTGGATGCCCCGTCCCTAGAGATGTTCAAGGCCAGGTTGGATGGGGCCCTGGGCAACCTGGTCTAGTATTAAATGGGGAGGTTGGTGGCCCTGCCTGTGGCAGGGGGGTTGGAGATTCATGATCCTTGAGGTCCCTTCCAAACTGTGCCATTCTGTGATTCTGTGAAAAAGTCATAACTGACACCAAAAAATCTCAGAGTCCTCTAAAATAATACATATATATATATATATACACACACACATATATACATACATATATATATATATATATATATATATATACACACACATATATACATATACACACACATATATATCCAGATTTCTTTTTTGTTATCACGCCTTGGTGGTTATCCTCACGTTTTAAATTTCCAGAAAAAAATGACTGGAAAAAACAACAACAACAACAACAACAAGCATTAGATCAGGAGGCCCTGTATCCTATTTTTCTAAAATCAAATTTGAGAATTGGGCAGTCTTCACATAATACTAACCCAAGGCTTTCTGGAAAACTTGAGGTGTGGGTCCAAATAGGTGGTTGCTCTGGCATGGGACAAAGGCAAGTACTCAGAGATGGTTCAGTTGGTGCTACTGTACACACAGACCGGTTCAGGTAGAAGTGACCCAAGGCCCATCCAATCCCAACCCCCCACCACGGGCTGGTCGCCCCCCAGCAGCTGAGGCTGCCCAGGGCCCATCCAACCTGGCACCGAGCGCGTGCAGGGATGGGGCACCACGGCTCTGATCAGCTTCTCTCTCAGTGAAGAACTTCTTCCTAACGTGCAACCCAAACTCCCCCGCTCTTAGTTCAGAACCGGAGGAGGAAGAGAGGAAGGAGGCCGCACAGCCCCCAGCCTCGGCCCTCCCGTCAGACACGGCCCAGCCCCGCCGGGAGCCCTCACAGGGAACAAAAGCGGCACACAGCCCCGCCGGCGTCCCTCCCCGCGCCGGGCTTCCGGGCAACCGAGTCCGTTGAAGACCGAGGGACCCCGCACCCCTCGCAGGAGGGCAGCGGGCTGCCGCCTCAACGCTCCCCGGGATTGAGAGTGTGACCGTTCTGCGCCCACAAAGGGGCCGAGGGCTGCGGACCGGGCGGACAGCCCCCCTAAGCCGCCAGGAGCCATGCTACCTCAGCCCCACCACGAACCGCGCCCGCCCCAGGAACCGCGCACGTTACTCACCTACGCCCAACTCACCCCACCGGGTCGGCGGCCCTTTAACGACCGGCACCTTCCTATTGGGCGAGCTGAGTGCCCATCAGCCCTTCCCGCACGATTATTGGCTGTTGAGGCCCGTCGTTTGTTTTCTCCTGTCCCGCCCTCCTAGACGCGCCGTAATGCCCCGAATAAGCTCCTGAGCGCCGTAACTCCCCCGCGGGGACACCGCTCGCGCAGCCCCATGCTGCATTGGCTGCGGCCGCTGCTTGTCTTACCGATGCCTTCCGATGATTGGGTAGTTTCTGCCAAAGCCCGCCTTCAGCTCTATGACTTTCAGGCGGCGCGTTACTTGCGCTCAGTGAGGCGTTGGGCGGGCGGGCTGCGGGGTTGGACTGCGTTCCTGCGGTGAGGTTCACCTGTAAAACGAGCCGAGTAATGCTCGTCCAGGTGATTTCGTGGTGGGAGGAAATGTTCTGAAATTTGCCGCTTATGTAAGCGGCAATATTACTTCACGAAAGCCAGCACGCCAGCGAAATGCAGCGGAGCTGTGCTGTCGCGACCCCTTTTCCTGTACCCGCAGCCCCCGCTGAGGTGCCCGGACCTCGCCCCGTGTGCGTCTCGTTGCCGTGGCAACGCGGTGCTTGGAGATGCATAATTAACATCTACGTTTACATGCGTTGCTGAAGCGCCTTGCCTGCGTTCTGCCCGATGTGCTCCGCGCAGTGACTCCTTTGCACGCTGATGAGCGGGCCCTTCCTGAACCCTTTCAGATACAGACGCTGCAGGTCACCGCGCTCACACAGACCTATGGGGTTTTATCAGCTCACGGTTTTGCTGCTACGCTATGCCCACTGTGCCCTGTAAAAATTTAGAAGGGAAATACTGGAGAGAGGGCAATAAGACCATACCACTTTGTTGGCAATTTTTTACACTGCATATTGTATTTCATAAAACCTATGCATGACCAAGGCTTTAATTTATGTTATTACATTATTTACGTGTTTTGACAGTGCTCATAAAATACGATGCAAGTTTGCCTTGAAGGTGTTGGAAGCTAGTTCAACCTGGATTGAAGTGCAATAGGTGGGAAAAAATAAAGAAGGGAACTCATTACCAGCCTGAGCCTCTGCCAGTCTGCAAAAATAATTAGTGTTAATTATAATAATATATCCGTTCTTCATAGGGAGCACGAAAACACTAAATATGATTACTGCTCATTAATATAAATTGAATACAAGTGTGAGATCTCATGGTAGCTGTTCTCGTAATGTTAGATAGATCTCCTTCCTCCCCAGTTGTTACTCCACTGTTGCAGAGGCTATTTGGTGTATACCAGCTTCCTCTACTGTACAAGTCTTTAGACCACCTTCATTCACATGAACTGTCTTGAATTTACATGTAGCTCACTGACACAGAAGAAAACTGAAGATACAATTATAATTCCAGGATCTCTTTGGTATGTCACTGGTAACTGAGAATTAATCTTTGCAGCTAGAAGTAGTAACAATAGCAGTGGATTGAAGGCAGGAGGGGAGAAAATAATCTGAAACTTATGCTGTCCAACCATAAAGTTCCATATAATGGTGAAGGGATGAAGGAAATGTGCTGGTCGAGGAAGGTGACTTAGGTGTTTAACAATGAGCAAGTTCTGTGAATATCCCCTCGAGGTATTTAACTTACTCATGAACTAAGAAAACCATTGAGTGTAACTTGTTAAAAATGATATGGTATCTTTTGTAAGATACTGTGATACAGTATGTGATACAGACTGTGAAGGTTGCTGAATTTTAAGTTCTGGAGGAATATAAGAACAGAGGTGTCCCTCAACCTAATGCCACATCTACACCCATTGCACTCGCGTATTTTAGAGTAGCAGCGTCTAAAGTAGCATGGAAGCCCACTTCAAAATCAATATATAATCATTTTCAATATTTAAACTATTGAAAATATTACATACCAATCTGATCTAGATGCATCCAATAAAAAATACCACACATACTTTACAGTAAAACAAATACAGCTTTCCAGCAGACTAAATTAATTTAGCTTGATAAGAGCAAATTGATTTACAAACAATATGCAGATAAAAAGTTCAAGGGTAGTGAAAAAAAAAATATATATATATATATATATATGCTGTCAGTGCAGTTTTTGTGCCTGCTAATTGCTTTCTTGGTCATATCCCAATACTCAAAATGTTCACCAGTTGGAAAAAAAATGTTAGCCCAGTTGGAAGCATTGTAGATTCTCTGTATTTTGAAACTCATTGGAAACAAACAAGCAAAAGCGAAAAACATTTACAGAGACCTGAGAAGGATTCAGTTGCTTGGTGCTTTATTTCACAGAAGAATGAACATCTCAGCAAACATACAGTAGTGTCATACTTCCACATATCAGCAGAGCCCAGGCAGCAGCAGGATTTTAATGATCTCTATGCTTTATTGGATGTTAGAAGGGAAAAAGTAAACTGAGCATAATTTACACATACAAATATTGTCAAAACATCCCTGGTTTAATTCTGTTTTAATTAAAATAGATCTTATGCTGCCTCCTGTTGGTCAACCACAAAAAGAAACATCTCAAATTAGACTCCACATTTCCAAACACTTATCAGCACATCCTACATCCTACACCTACCTAATACTTATTATTAATCAGAAGAGGTATGCAGATTTCTTAATGGAGTAACACTGGGAACAAATGTGACCCAATAAATCTTACTCCGTTTTTTAAATATAATGAATTTTTAAAAGCAGTAAACTGACTTACTACTAACGTATTTAGAATATAGAAAATAAATTCATTAATACAGAAATAATAATTATCAGGTCTGTGCAAACATAATCAATTTAAACACCTGAATAATTAATATTTATTGTAACTAAGTCAGTATGATAACATTAGCAAAGTGCCATAATGTTTTCAGTGCATTCTTATAAAACTATCCAATATAATCATTACTGGGTATTAAAATCTCACATGTATATTATCTTAATGTATATTGTACTGATCATGCTTATAATGTGTTTTGTGACATACAGTAAACAACTATTAGAAATGTTTTGGTTACATTATTTAGGTGCAAATAGTAGCATATACTTTTACATGCAATTTGTATGTTTTAAACATTTTAATATATTTCAGTGAGAACCTAGGTAATCATCATCTAGTAATGCATTATTTTCAGAGGAACATACTTTTTTATTAAGTTCTGTGAGCTTTGAAAAGTCAGAAAAGTTGTAGAAAAGAAATCACCTTGCACTAATTTTGGGATTTTTTTAAATTCTTTAATTGCTGTGTAGTCAGCTAAAATATATATCTTTGATCCAGATCTACAGAAGTAACTCATGCAAGAAACCCATACTGTTTTGAGTAGTGCAGTTGACTTCGCTGAGATTTCATCCATTGCTAGATATATTACAAATCCTGTGATAAATAAGTCATAAATTTTATCTTAAAGCTTTGTTTTTAACCACGACTTTGTAACATACCTTCTTCTGCATTCAATTCCACTATCAGATTCAACTCTCCATATGAATCAGAATCAGTTGAATTGAAAGAAACCTTTAAAGGCCATCTAGCCCAACTCCCCTGCCATGAACAGAGACTCTACAGCTCCATCAGGTGCTCAGAGCTCCATCCAGCCTGACCTGGAGTGACTGGGCAGGAACTGGGCACCACCACCTCTCTGGCCAACATGTGCCAGTACTTCATTACCTTTAATGTAAAAAAATGTTTCTCTTACATCTAGTCTATATCTCCCTTCCCTCTTTCAGTTTGAAACCATTTCCCCTTCTCCTGTCACGTTGAAATTACAGAAAATAACCTTTTTTTTTTTTTTCCCCTCCATGAGTTTAAATACGTAACAGAAGAAAGTTCATTCTATTTCACAGTAACTTTTTGGAATAAATAGAAAAAGGAACTGATGCTACTAATTAATTACCTTGTCACCAATTAAGAGAGTGAAACACCATTTGAAATTCATGAATGATTGGTTGGATTGGGAACTGACTTTAGTTCCTGTGCAAATGTAGCGTAGAATATCAAAGAAGTATGTCTTTTGTCCCAATAAAGTTATGTTTAGGTTTATATATATGTGTGTGTGTGTGTGTGAATAACGAGTAATTTACCACACACGCTCTGTTGGGTATCATATGGCAGAGGTATATGCATACAGCAAGTATATAAAATAAAACATACTGTAAGAAAATATTTGGAAGAAAGAGCATCACCTGAACTTGTGACTGACTCAGTGCTGTTCATGCAGCCCAGCAATTTGCTCACAACAGAAGCAACAGAAAGTAACTTTGAGTTCTCTTGTCTCTTCCAACTTGCATAGCTGTTTATACCCATATAAAAAGGGCATAATGTTGTCATTGCATAAATTACGTAGTCATTACTTGGGTATAAAAAGAGCACAGAACTACAAGCAAACAAGAATTCGGCCTCCATGCAGCAAAAGAAGGCAATGACAGCACCTCCTACTTGGATACAAGCGCTATGGAGCAACAGAAGATAACAAAGAAGAAAAATTGCTCACTCCTTCCAATAACCAGTGATAGCTCAAGAAGAGTGCGGCCTCTATCCAAGGAAATTCTACTCCCTCAGCTGCTACCCATAAATAAGGATGAGGAGGGATGGGTCCAGGCTCCACCCTTTCAGCCACTCAGGTGCTTTGCTTGCACCCAAGCTCCCTGGGTTAGCCATGCTTTCTCAACTGATGCTCAATCACTGGTTCAGGCTATCACCTGGCAATTCTGTGTAGCCTTGTACTTCTGATGGAAAGTGACAAGCTGTGATAATTAGGTGAAGTCTATGCTACCTTGACTAGCCTACTAAAATTCTTATTCTCCTATATTCCTATTTTTTTTCCCCTTCATAATTTAATAAGCTGGAATATTATTCTCCATCTCTCCTAAACTATTCAACATGTATCATTTTTACTAACAAAAAAGTAGGCCTGTTCTGATATAAAAATGATTGTAAAGGTTACTGGTCTAACTCTACTTGTAATATGGAGATTCACTATGAAAAGATCAAAATAAATGTGGAAGTTACCTGAAATATTACTACAAGAAACTATTTACTTCTACAGAACTGACACATATCTTAATACAAATTACTGAGGGGGAAAGTTCCACTATTAATAGGTTATCCAAATGTGCATAATTTTTACTTACACCCTTATGAAAATATTTATAATATTATCTAACTTTTGAAATATATCAGATAAATTATACAAATGACAAATTGTAGATTTCCACTGTTTACTATTTGAAAGAGAAATATGTTGCTAGGCAATATTAAGCATTAATACTGAGTTTTACTTTTGCCAAAAGTACATGCAGCAGAGATGTGGTAGCAAAATTACAGTGGTTATCTGAAGCCATGTAAAAGATGCATTAGGTAACTCACTAAATTTTGTTCATTTTTAAGCTGCTTGGAAAATACATGCTTAGATGTTTAGAACCATTCTGTCTGGCATAACACAATTTTATGGCCTGATTAGTACATAAGGGATACTAAAATCTTATTTAAATATCTGGAAAGAAAGAAAATTCTCTGGCTGCAGAAGATAACAAGTGAGTTTATGAAACCTAGATAATTCCAGTGTCTTGTTGGACAGACACTTCATATGCATCAGATCAAATTTACTTCACAGTAATATTAATACTGAAAATCCATTACAATTTTAACATAATAGATTACTATAGTTTCTCTAGCAATATATTGCATAGTGTTTACCTGGTAATAATTTATCACTTATAATTGCCATGAAGATGAAAGTGTTTTAATTCATTTAAAATACTACAGAAGTTTTAAAAAATGATTTATTTCCCTTCAGAAATGCTACTTACTTTAAGTATGGGCTTGTTTTTTTTTCTTCTAACTTTGTATTCTGTGTATTACAAGATACGAACTTTTCCAGTAGTTAACTGAAGCAACAACTAAAACTTAATTTTGGAATTTTCTGCTGTAAGCAGCCTATTGGCTGCTTAGCAGAAACCGATGCAGACTTCAGAGATGGAAGACTTCTGTTAGAAAACATCCTGAAGTGTTTTTTCTTGCAGTGATTGAGGTGACCATCTGTGCAGCAAAGTTCTCACCTGAATCATCCAACCTGTAGAAATTTTTCTCACCCTGCAAAATGTTATCAAAGTTTGTCTTGCCACAGTGACGGGATGAAAACAGAAAGTACAGCTACTACTAAGGCACAAGGATGGAAAAAAAATGGTCCGACTGAAGAGCTGATGTAAGATGATGGGAATTTTCAGTCTCTTCAAGTCAGGCACCTGGTTTTAATGCTGTGAAGATGCTGTGAAGGTAACTTTGGCTTTTCCCCTTGCTCAGGTCATTCTAATAAGATAAAACTGACAATGAAGTTCTCTAAGAGGCTTGTGAATAAAAAAAAGAAAAGAAACAGCATGAATGCAGATTTCTTTAAACTTCAGTTACATAGGGAAAACAGTATCGATATCAGTTTCCTCACTCAGCCATTTATCACCTGGGGCAACTGATTATTACAGAAATAATGGCACATTTTACAAAATAAATTCCTCATAACTTTTTTTTCTGAAAAATAGTATTTTCAAATTATTCAGATAGTTATAGAGAAGACTTCTATATAAAACTAAGTAATTGTTAATATATAATGACTAGGATGAATGGGAATTTTATAGACCCTTTCAGAAACATTTCTATAACAGACAATTTAAACTGAAGATTTAAAACAAAAATAATACATATTTTTTCTGCAAATTAATATTGAAAAATCTGTTGTAAGATTTGTGCATTTAAATAGATCATTTTGACTCAAGAATTTCAAAATTCTCCAGAGCAAATTGTCATTACAGATGACCATGGGTCCCTATATTTATTAAACTGAATGACCTGACAGTAAAATTCAGTTAAGGCTCTTGGCATTGGGGAAACTTCTTCCCACTCGGACCTATTACTGTGGTAGACTTGAACTTCATCTGTGATTTCTTCTGGAGCATAATCACCGCCTAAGATATAAATTTTGTCTTCTGTTCCAACTGCCCCTGCATTAAAGCCAGCACATTCAAAAGATCCTTCCCCTTTCCAAACACAGGTTTCTGGGCAAAAGCTGTAGACTTTGTAGGTGGAGAGATCACATATGTACAACGTGCAGTTCACTGGAACAGCTTTGATTAGAGTTGCATGGAAAAACTGCCCAAATTCTGCTACAAGCTCCGACCACTGATCAGTCATAGCATTATACTTAAAGAAACAGTCAAGAGACGGATTAAAGGCATCAGTAATCTCCACTTCAGAGCCAAGGACATAAATTATATTCTGACATGCACTTGCTTCTGGATAGTAGATACCTCTTGGTAATTGGCTTACAGATTTCCAGTCTTTGGAGAGAGGATTATATGATTCTACATCCAAAAGACTCCGGGTTTCTTGAGCTCCTCTGGTCTTTCCACCTATTACAAACAACTGGTTTAAGGTGACAACAGATGTGTGCATTGTCCTTGGTTTTCTCATAGCTGACACTATGGAGAATTCATTGCGGACTGGACAGTAGCACCAGGTTTGGTCAGTGGCATCATGAAACGGTTCAGCAATATGAAGCCTGACTGTCCTGTAACAATTCCCGTTGCATCCTCCAGTTATAAATATTTTCTCTCCGTAGCTAGATAAGCTTGACCCTGGAAGATCAATCATGTGTGTATGTGGTAGTTCTTTCCATTTATCTGTTTTGATGTTGTAGCAAAATGTATGCCTGTTTTCTCCGTCTTCATCAGTTTTATGAACAAATATGTATTTTTCTGTTGTTGAAGGACGTGCATCTGGAAATAGTCCGCTGAAGTCTTGCACACTTTTGACTGCATCATTGATTATTACTGAACAATTAGCACTTTTAAGTAAATATTCTTCTGAATGCAGAAAGTCTTGCAAAGTCTTTTCAGGTAACTGGTGTAGCCTCACTTTTTTGATCAAATTAGGCAGATATTTCTGTCGTGTTTCTATGTTATGTTTGGTCCATTGAAGAACAGCATTCAACACTGATTCTTCCTCAGGGACATTTAGTTCATCAGCTTCAAGACATTTTTGTAATATCTCAAAATTCATCTCCAAAAAGTCACTTGATCGCAGTAGCAGGGAAAAGTGATGCTGTACAAAATCGAGCGCATGATCAAATAAGCGGACAGAACCATAACTTTCTGACAGAGAAAGCAACTGTAAGCAATTGACAAGATCGATACTTTTTATTAGAAAGTCACTGCAAGCTTTGGAAAGGAGTGAAACTTGAAGAAATGATGACAGCTGGAAGAGCATTTCCACGTTATCATTTGTTATCTCTGTTTTTCCCGTGTAAGCGTAATCAAGAAAAGCTTTCACTGCCTTGGGTGATAGATTACTAATAGTAACATTGCCATCATCTCGTTCTTTCATATTAACTTCAAACATGGCTCTGTGAATAAAATATAGAAGACATACACAGAAATTAAGGATCTAGCAAACAGAAGACAACATTGGTGTGGGAAGGAGGATAAAATTGGGGGGTATAATTAGGTGGGATAGCTCTATAGATCTGAAATGTGAAGGTTAACAATGATAAGAATACATTGACTTTAAATGCTGTCAGAAGAAAGGATTGGTGATAACGTACTCAAAGCAATGGTTCAAAAATGATAGCAGCTGTGTTTTCTATGGATTTTGAAAGTGAGATGAAATCTACAACTCAGCAGGACTGAAAGTTGTTAGGGGCAGCGTCAGTTTCAACAGTTTGAGAAAGGCTGATTTAAAAAAATATATAGCAAAAAAAACAAAAGAAAACAAAAAACAAAAAACAAAAAACTTGATTTAGGTCATGCACTGTGGATAAATACAGAAAATTAAGAGGAAAAAGGCCTTCCAAACTGCAGATTGGAACAAATGGCAGCGTGGATTATGGGTGCATTCCTCAGGAGTAAAAGTGGTTGAGCGGTGAGAGGAGAAAAAGTATGAAAAGCAGCTTTCATTTTTTGCTTTAGTGCTGACAGACAGATATATGGGTACAGGCAGATGTCATAAAAAATGAGGTTTTGATATAGCATTTGATGACAAAATGTCCTGTACAAAAAATAGACTGTGACTGACTACCAAGACAATTGTCAAAATTGTGAAAGGAACATTACTGATCAGTAGATCTGTCTAAATTTTATTGCAACTTTGAGTACTTTATTACTAAATACATAACAGCCACATTTTAACTACTGCACACAATCTAACATTGTGAAATAAAATGATTAAGGTATTGCAATCTGGCGAGAGAACCATTCTGCCATGTCATTTGCCCTGACCCTTTGGAGCATAAGCAATCAGTGTCCCAGATTTGACCAAAGATGATAGTGGAGAAAGATTTAGACAAATGATTCCAAATGCTGAGTATAAAATTTGGATTAATAATAAATCATAGGTAGCTCCTATTTAAAAATAAGATGAGTTTTATATCATAGCTCTCTTACACAATTAGTATATGGATAGTATGTGATATTTAAAATCCCATACTTTTACTAAGCCAAAGAAGAAAATGAAAACCACTGTGTACTGCATACTCTTTGGAAAGTGAACATCAAGTAAAGCAAAAATTCACCTCTTGAACAAGAATCATAGAATCACAAGGTTGGAAAGGACCTACAAGATCATCTAATCCAACCATCAAGAAGGTATAATTGCAATAAGAAACTTACAACCTGAAACTTTTTTACATAATAAATACTCATTCTTTTGAAGCTATGATACAAATCTCTAAATTACAGAGTAAAATGGAAAGGATACTGGGTGCCTAGGAAATAAAGCTTCACTTACAAGAAATAGCAACTGAGCAATACTAGCAGAAGAGCAGAAGCTAGGAAAAGGCTTTGAATCAAAAAGCTAACAAGTAGGGAGAAAAATGTTGCTGAATCTTGGGTATTACACGGTGAAACCAAAATGAAGTCCACAGGAAAGAAGGACAATCTTTCAGATAAATAACTTTTGATCTAGCGGACATAGGTACTTTTTATTCTCCAAAGATAATAGATAAGCCTTGCATTCCAGGACAACTTACGAATTTTATGGCTGCTAACACCTGTTACACACAAACTTGCCTGGCAAAGTTTAATCCCAAAAGCCCATTAGAAACAGGTTTGTAGTTTGGGTTTGCACATCTCAGTTTTGCTAATGAAAAGGTTACCAAAGTTGTTAATAAAAGCTGTATATGACTAATCTGTCCCTTAGGAATGTATAGCTTTAACTATCATAAGTAAGAAGGAAGATCACAGCTTTGTTTCATACTGAAAGGCTGAAATTTGTAGTTTGGAAAAAATACTAGATATCTGCTTAAATAACTCTGAAGACATACTGTGCTATTCTGATTACTCGTCTTATTATAACAAAATCCAACCGAACTCCAAAACCATTAACAAGTTATCCACAATTGTTCAATGAAGTACATATCTGGAATCAATCTGTTACGCTTCCCAATATAAAGTACACAGACTATTCCATGCAAAGTCAAATCTTGAAAATACACAATTTATGTCAGTTATGCCGAACACAGGAGTCATGCAGTTTATGGTTTAACATTTGTGTCCCAGTGAGCAGTGAGCAGTCCCAGTGAAATACACAGACTGCTGTTTGAATCTCAAACTCACAGAGCTCCCAGGTCCCTGGAAATCTAACAGTGCAAGTATTTGCTATCTGTATTTCTTTGATGAAAACTCTGCAGACATAGAAAAGTTATGACGATTTCTCTTTTAATTTTTGTAATAATATCATTTCCCTCCCTTCCAAAGAACTTTAAGTCCATTTCCTGCCAACTCATGCCAAAATTACACTTACCTGAAAAAATCACTGCAAGCTGCCAGTACACAACGATGACAAGGAATGACTTCATCTTTCACAATAATTTTAAAGTCAAAAAATATATTTTGTTCTCTGAACTTCTGTAGTACTTTTAGAATTTGTTGTCCATGACCTTCAGCCACTAAGGAATTAATTTTATTTTCAGGAACAGAAATTCCATTGCAAATAGGTCTGCTAATGTAATCTCGATTGGCCATGTTTTCTACAATCTAGTCATGAACCTGAAATGGAAAAATAAGTAATTGATTTAATGGTCTTTTTTTTTTTTTTTTTAATCAGTATGCCATAAACCAAAAATCCTAGCACTGAAATTGGTTTGCGAGTCCAGTGCACTAAATTTAAGTGACATTTACACTGAATTGTATAATACTTCCACTTTGCAAAATATATACAAACATACTTTGAAAAGTAATGTATCTATCCAACATAGTACCCACCTGCAAGAATTTCTTCAACAGAGTCCACAGGAAGCACACGAAGGAACACGTTAAAGATTTTAATGGTCATTAAGACAGACTGTTCCTAGGCTTACCCTCAAAAAATCTCAACTTCTTACAATTTGATTTCTCTCTGATGGTATTAAGAAACTTCAAATATATTTTATTTACACCTATCCTAAGAGCTATTCATCCTGCTACAGATGCAAAAGCTGGCCTTTCTGGAAATTTTAGTCCAACTTCCTTATTTTAAAGCATAAAGAAACTTGGATTGCAGAACTCTGTGTCCAGAGTTCCAATTGTACTTGCACCAGATGATGGCCCACCTGAATCAATAAAGAAGGGAATAAAAAAAAAAAGTCCAAGCCAGATGTGGAGTCCAGGATAATATTTTCTTCTTAAAATTTTGTAAAGAGGCTTATCTAGATGATCAGGTCATACACTCAGAGCAAACATAACCATCAGGCAATCTTCTTCTTGGGAGGTATTTTCAGAGCAGACTCATCTATACTTTTATCTAGTCAGGTAGTTCCACCCACAAGGAGACCACCATGTCTCCTGGAATAGAAGAGATCCATTGATCTTGATCCTAGCACTGGCATGCTTGAAGCTGACATCTTATCATTCCCATAGCCAGACAATTTCATATATTCACTCTTTCCATTTTAAGTCTGAGGAACTAGGAAAATACAGAACAAGACTACCATTTACTCTATTAATGTATGGTCCCATAAACCCAAGTTTCTGTAATCATAAAGCTTTCTTTTCTCATTTTTTTCTAGAATGCCCTTTTCATATGGCCTTCAATTCTATTCGTCAAAAGACTAAATCTGCAAAAGCAAAGTTGCTTCAGTAAAACTAGTTATCCATATCTGAATGAAACTTGAAGTGAATTTCTATGTTTATTTGGCATTACATAAAATAAGTCTTTTTTTTTTTTTTCTTAAAGAACTGTGAACCTTTTCACAAATTTCTGGAATTGATAACAGATAGTAGACATGTCCTCTTTTACATATATTTTCTATAGCATGCTCTGATCTGCTATTTGCTTTCTGTAGGTAAAATTACCAGTTTCAGTAATATTCATATTTATATAAGGAACACAGAAACATGTCGTCAGGTCCATCTCTGCAGGAAAAGGTATCACATAATCACTTTCATAATGACATTATATATTCAGTTTTGTTTCACCACTAATGTTTGCACTAGAAGACTATTACAATACTATCAATGCCAAGATTGCATCCGTTCTTTTAAGTACACATTCAATTTATTAATGTTTACATTCATGTGATCTTCTGGCAGAATTGTCATTTGACTTAATTTTCCTTTGTGATGTTTATTCATCCATAACTCTCAAGTGATGATGTCCTGTCCCAGCTTTTGTCGGGATTAATTAAACAACTGTCAGACCTTCTAAGGCCATTAATGAGACCAAATTTGTTTTTTTTTTTCACTATTTCTTGCACTATTCTCTTCCTGCAGTCTAGTTCGAGCTCATCTTTCTTTCACTGTTATTAGATTTAGGGTTAGGTGATTAGTGGTTCTATATCCAAGTGAAAGCCAGTAACAAGTGGCATCCCCCAAGGGTCTGTCTTGGGACTGGTGCTCTTTAACATCTTTATCAATGACATCAGTGATGGAATTGAATGCACCCTCAGCAAGTTTGCTGATGACACCAAGCTGAGTGGTGCAGTTGACACAGTGGAACGAAGGGATGCCATTCAGAGGGACCTCAACAGACTTGAAAGGTGGGCCCAGGTGAACCTAATGAGGTTCAACACA